GTACCACATTTGGCAAGGTTACAGTTAAATAAGAACGTTTCTACACTGTTGGTAGGAAAGAAAATTACTTCAAACATTGTGGAAGATAGTGTGGCAATTCCTCAGAGATTTAGAACCAAAAATACCATTTGACCCAGCAATCCCATTACTGGGTGTATAGCCAAGGAATATAAATCATTATATTACAAAGATACATGCACATGTATGTTCATTGCCACACTGTTCATGACAGCAAAGACGTGGAATCCACCCAAATGCCCATCACTGAGAGACTGGGGAAAGAAAATGTGGTACATATATATCTTACTTTGCTTTATCATTTTCATTCAGTTTGAGTTCATTTTATGAGAAAGTCAAAGAATTAAATTGAAGCAAATTAAATAGCATATACTGTATTTGTCATATTTTTATTTGTTTGCATGGTACAATGGTAAACAATGGTAAGCACTGCATTGGATATATTGGAGAAAAACCATGTAGATTTCAAAGCGCTTGGTGTGATAGAAGATAGAAAATAATATATTTCTCTTCTTCAATTACTCTTTAGATGTCAGCATAAGAATGATGAAAACATTTTCCGTTTTTATGAAGTGGTTTAAAAGCATATGTCTACGTATAATTTGGTTCTTTTTTCTCAAATCCTTAGCTCTGTTGGTTTTAAGACTTTTTTTTTTTCCTGAGCCCTGCTTCTTGTTTCAAGCCTTTCATTATGGTTCTGTACTTTCCACTCCTGGGCATCATAATACACTGAGAATCTACCTATCAGTCATTTGCTTTAAGTTGGTTTAATTTCCACTTTTCTTAATTTTTTTCAAGATAGTCTAAAGAAACACCCTCATTTACCTTTAGTCTTAGAACCAATAGTCTCACTAGTAAAGTCTTTTCATTGCTCCATAACTCTCCCGCATGTTTACTGCTGTGCAACAGAAATAGAGGCAGGAAAGGACTGTTTTATGCTGAGCAATTACCACCTCTTCCTCCAACCACAGCAAACTCAGTCAACAGGCCTTCTAAGCATGCAGGAGGAATTTTCTTTTCTTTTCTCTTTCTTTCTATCTGTGTTTTCCCTTCCTTCCTTCTATTCTTTCTTTCAGATAACACTAAACAGCAGCTATTGCTAACTGAAATTTCATACTTATGTGGCAGAATATTCAATGATAGAAAGATAGAAGATCGATAATATTGATGCCAGGTTTAGAATTGCAGACCTGACATTATTTACTTATTTGGAAGAGGTATCCTATCTCCCTAAATGTTTTCTTTTTCTTTTTTGTGTCTGCATTATTACAATTAGTAAAAGAATTCTACATGTATTAGCTGGTTAAAAAGAGGAAGTGAAGTAACGTGTGTGTTCTAGTCAGCATAGAGTGGGGTGTGCTGCAATTTGGCAACTCATAATGGAAAAAAAAACTTGTTTTTTCCTCATACTACAAACACAGGACAGGTAATTAGGGGTCCTATTCCCTACCTCTTTAGCCTGGGACCCAGGCTAATGGAGCACCTGCCATCCCAAACATTGCCAGTGAGTGTGGTAGGAGAATGGCTCAACTCGAGGGTGTTTGTCACCAGCCTGGAGCCACAGAAGCAGGAAGCACTTCCCTCACGGCTCACCTGAAGCTGTCCTGCTCCACATAACCACCAGGATGCCCCAAAGTGCGGATACCTTGCACTCAGAGGGAACTTGTTCAGGGACTAGAATTACGGACTTTCTCTATAAGATATTTGTCTAAAGTGCTGAGCTTATAGTAGATGTTTGCTGAATTTTAGATAACATGGTTATTACTTTGCTACAAGGTCATGAACAAATCACGTTACTTTGCTTAAGTTCCAGTTTCTGTAGAGAGAGGAAATTTTCAAGTTGTGACTGTTTAATTTCAGATTTGAACCTAAAGTACATTTTTAAAATGCTTATGATGAATTAAATGGAAATGGAAAAAGTACGTTACTGTATGTAAAATTCTATAATTCATAGATTAAGGTTGTATTAGGTTGGTGCAAAAGTAATTGCTGTTTTGCCATTACTTTTAATGGCAACAACTCAACCTAATATTTATACTTTTTCCACTTCCCTGACACATATACATGCACACACACCCACACACACATAGTCAACCACATATTCACAGTGAATTTCTTTCATTTTCATCAATAGGAAATTCTCCCTCCCCGTCAAAAACTATCGAGGTTTTTAAACTGAATACCTTAACAACCACGACAGATTTTTGAACACAAATTGAAAGTAGTGAATGCACTCTGAGTTATCTGACCACCAGAAGGCTTTCCAGTCAAGGGCACCTTTAGAGTAAAGCCCTCTCCCTATTTTAAACACAGCATTGTGCCTTCAGTTATTTGCTTTTCTCTCTCTCTCTCTCTCTCTCTCTCTCTCTGTTTTTTCTTTTCTTTTCTTTTCTTTTTAAGACAGAATTTCTCTCTTGTCACCCAGGTTAGAGTGCAATGGCACGATCTCGGCTCACTGCAACCTCTGCCTCCTGGGTTCGAGCGATTCTCCTGTCTCAGCCTCCCAAGCAGCTGGGATTACAGGCACATGCCACCGCACTGGCTAATTTTTGTATTTTTAATAGAGACGGATTTTCACCATGTTGGCTAGGCTGATCTGGAACTCCTGACCTCAAGTGTTCCGCCCACCTAGGCCTCCCAAAGTGCTGGGATTACAGGCATGAGCCACTGCACCCGGCCACTATTTTTTTTTTTTTTTCTTTTTAATAAATATCAACAAGGGGGAAATGAATAGGGGTTGCAATGGTAAGAGATGAACTTTCATTTATTGAGGACTTTGCCTGAAATTTTGGCTAAGGGTATTTAGAGATCATATGTAACTTTTTGTCACTGAATTTTTAATTTTTTTTCCTTTGCAGGCATTCAATTTTTTTTTAACTTTGTGTTATTTAACCTGAGTTTTTTTATGTCGATCTTCTCATTTAATATACTCAGGTTATTGGGAACAATTATTTAATATGAACCACTTTAAAGATGTTTAATTGACAAATATAGGATATAATATGGTGTTATGATACATGTATGTATTGTGGAATGATTATATTAGGCTAATTAACATAATATGTACCATTTTAAAATAGTAACTCTAAACTCCAGAACTTAATTCCAATACTTGAAATTTGAAAGGAAAGGGAACAATATCTCTAGTTAGAATAACTTGAAAAATCATCAACAAAAAACCCTTTTTTCATATACTTTATTATTTTTGTTTTGCAGAAATCTAAAAGGCTGGCTAAAGAAAATGTTTATTTTTCTCTTAAAAATTATTCTTGTCACTTTCTTGCAAACATCCACTAGGCAAATCAGGCATAATAGATTTCAAATTTTATAATACATTTCAATTTGACTGCTTTAATCAGAGTCAAACCAAAACAAACAAAAAAAAGGGTAATGAAAACAGCAAATAATAATAACCTTATAATTTTCAATTCATTAAACATTCTTCATCATATTATACTGTAAGGATTATGCAAAATAAATTATAGAAGAGATTATGCGATTCGTTATTAATTCTTTCCCTGCAGGTTTGAGAACCAAAGGACGCTACACTAGTTCTTCATTACAGAAACATGCACTTCATGTAATAGAATCAGATTGCGCCCAGGCATGGCAAGAAGGCTAGGCATAAGCTGAAAAATGAATCTGACAGTTGTCTTCAAATATCGTTTTAGCCAAATGTTTCGAATTTCTCCCAGTGCAGACCTTTGATCAGAGTTGATAAAATCAATCAGAGTTAATAACATCAATCAGAATTAATAGTCTGAGGATTTTTGTCACTCTATAACGTTTTCAACTTTCGAGGCGTGAATTATGGCCTTTAACCCTGTCCTTTCCATTGCTCCACGGTTTCCCCAATTCTATGGCCAGGATTAGGAAATTTCCTACAGTTAGATTGTGTATCAACCAAATGACGAATTAGCTCTTTTGCTGAAATTATCTAAACATAAGGATTTGTCTGAGCTTTCCAATCACTAAAATTATATTTTCTATGTATTTATTTAAAGTAAGGTTTTGTTGAGTAACCTAACCAAAACTATGCATACATTTGTAATATATATATACATGTATAATCTGTTTTGATATCTATCATCTATCATCTATCTATCTTATCTATCTACCTACCTACCTATCTATCACAAATTGTTAGTCTAGGTAGTAACCTTTGTCTGTTGGGATATTTGCTATTTTTCCTGAGCTATATTTCCTATTTTCCATTTATGCCTACAAAACTAAGTTTATCGCTCCTTCCCTCATTTACATGTTGGACGAAGCCCCTGAGGGACCAGGGCAGATTCCCATTCTACACGTGCACTTGTCATTGGATTTTTCAGAGTTCTTTTTGGAGTTGCTGGGCCTGAGTTCCAGCTCAGTGTTTTGTTTGTGAACACATAAATCAGAGTACTGAAGCCCAGGGAGAGAAAAGCACTGAGACAATTTCTCTTCTCTGATCGCCTGTTGTGAGTCCTCCTTTTCTGCTCCTGTGGAATCTGTTCTGTAAAATCCAATCTTTTCTCCTCAGCACCATTTTGCACAAAATTCACATATGCACATATATCAGAAAATAATTTAATGTCATTTAAAAAAATTATTTCCAAAGTAAGGCATCAATATGGTGGAAAATTTAAAAATACAGAGACACATAGGATTAAATAATAGTAATAACAATCTCTTGCCTAACACTTTCCTGATTCCAGAAGAAACACTTTCCTAATTTCCTAATTCCAGAAAAATTGTTTCTTCTGAAACAATTTTTGCAATTTTTCCATTTCTCCTACTGTTTCCTAAAGTCAAAATCAAATGATTATATGCCTATTTACAAGTATGTCAACTTTATTCAATGTCTCTTTTCAGCATAAAAGATGGGGATTTAGTTCACTATCACTAGCCTTCTTTATTTCTTTTTTCTCCAGTAATTTAAAAAGAAATATATTATTTAAAATTATGTTATTAATTCGCTATGCACCTGGAAATGATGTACTTATTTTTCATAATTTCAGTGAGCATCTCAACATCTTTTGTGACAAAGGAGAACGTGGATGTCACTGGCTTTCACTTCACGTTATGTGAGTTCCACTTTTATTTTTCTGTTACCAAGATTGTTAGCTTTTGTATTGCAGAAAGGGTTTTTTTGCTGACATGTTTAAGGAAGGAGTTTGTTGATTTTTATGTATTTTGAAAAAATATAAATATTAGATATTTGTACGATAAGCTGATTTAAATCTATTTCTTCTATTTAAAAAAAGTATTTTGGCCAGGCTTGGTAGCTTACGCCTGTAATTCTAGCATTTTGGGAGGCCAACGCAGGTGGATCACCTGAGGTCAGGAGTTCGAGACCAGCCTGATAAACATGACTAAACCCTGTCTCTACTAAGAAATACAAAATTAGCTGGGCTTGGTGGTGCATGCCTGTAATCCCAGCTACTCAGGAGGCTGAGGTAGAATTGCTTGAACCCAGGAGGCGGTGGTTGCAGTGAGCCGAGATCATGCCAGCCTGGGCAACAAGAGCGAAAGTCTGTCTCAAAAAAAAAAAAAGTATCTTGCTTTGTTGGACATTTTAATAAATGGTGAAATTCAGAAAACACTGACATAACAGGTTAGATAAATCAGAAGAAAGGGCTAAGAGAACATAGGAAATGGGTAACACAATCACAAACACAAAGAAACAATCAGTAGTTAACTTTTTGATTTGAAACGTCAACACACTGTACAATCACAAAATCACAAAAGAAAAAGTTGACCTTCTAAGTTTAAAGCTTCAGATGAGCATTCACATTCCCTAAGGTGAGTCAAGAAGGTAAGGGCAATTTATTTCTTTAATGAAATATTAAGCCATGCTAATTAATATTAACCTAAATGATAAATATGTGTTTTTATATATAGTGGTGTTCATATAATTTCATGTAATGTGTGCATCTGAATAATCTCAGCATGATTACACTATTAATGCTTGGTACTTTTTGACTTATTTCTCTGAAACAGATCCTTCACCTGTGTATACACACAGAGACTCACACGTCAATCCAGCTCCATGCAGATGTATAGACTTTCGTGATGGGGTGTGTTTAAGGAGGGCAAGGATGGTGGGTCTTCCATTTCTGAAGACTTTGTGACACTTTTAGTCTACCCAATTCTGTTATTTTTTTAGTCAATTATATTTCAAGCAAGATTTAGATCTCTCAGAAATATAAAAGCCAACAAAGGGAAACAACAGGATTAAAATATGTCTAGTCTTCTGGCTATACACCAGAATCTCCCAGACCAGTCTAGAGAATGTGAAACCTCTATAAACCAAAACATACACCAGTAAAATAAAGGTACCTTCAATCTGGTAGAGTAACTAAAAAACAATTTTCTCTTCATTTCATGTGTGTGTGTGTGTGTGTGTGTGTATGTGTGTATGTATATGTGTGTGTATATATGTGTGTGTGTATATGTGTGTGTGTATATATGTGTGTGTGTATATATATATATGTGTGTATGTATATGTGTGTGTATATATGTGTGTGTGTGTGTGTGTGTATATATATGTGTATGTGTGTGTATATGTGTGTGTGTGTATATATATATATATAAACATTTTACCCATTAGACATGTCTGAAAGTGAGCATGAAGATACATGGTAGAAACACCTAAAATTTCTATTTAATAAGCAGCAGAATCAATTTATCAATGTTTAAATAGAGGACTCTCAAAAAGTAAAGATGCTATACTAGATGTGTTGAAAAACAGTGAAACAAAATGTCATGGTACTTGTTTGCAATGAAATTACGGTTTATGGGTGTATAAGACATGTATATGTGTTACTCTTGCACTGTGTCCTTCACTACCCATCGGCATACAGGACACAATATAAGCACCATAGCAGAGCTGCAGACAAGATGAGGTACCTATTAAGAATATAGTCACATATCATTTTAGGGGAATATTTAATGCATAAAAATAAATCAAGGAATAGGTTAGTAGTAGTCTATCATTTAAAAACTATTCTGTGCAGAGCACCTCAAATAACATTTTGAATTAAACCAAAACTTAATTTAATACTTAATATTCACTGAAATCTCCCTAAAGGCACATAAAGGATTTACAAAATTTAAAAAAAAAGGAAAAAGAAAATTTCTCTTTCGAATAAGGCAATGTGTGTTATGCTATTTTTCATGATATAAACTTTTTATTTTAGTATTTTTGAAAGGTAGGTAAAATATTTCTAGTTGCTTAGGGTTCAACGTCTAGGAAATTTAATATGAATAGCATTTCACTAATGAAAGTGCTTTTCTTCCCCCTTCCCCCATAGCCCATCTTCTCCATAAACTCAGTACAACAGTATCAGCTCCCAAACTGAGCTGTCTCTCCACCCTGTGACTTATCAGCACTGATTGCTATCAGCTGTTTCTGGGCCTGCCTGCATTTTGATTCATTGAGGTTTTTCTTTACCTCCCTGTATGGTTCAAGTTTTCTCAAGAGAATGATGGTGCAATGTAATCTATTCCTCAGATATATCAGAAATTTCACAAATGTTTAGGCTTATTGGAGACGATGAGATCCTGAGGGAAAATCCATATACTTTCTTGTAGATTTCAATGAGATAGCAGTCCCATGATTTATCAAACATACATTCAGAAAACCTGCCAAGGGATGAACTTCATTTCTCATTTTCCTTATTTTAAAGTGAAATTTTAACTTCCTAACATTTCTGGCAGTGAGTAAGCAAAGCCCAAGTTTCATATAAAGAAGAGGAATATGTTGGTATTACAACCAGGAGAACATTTGCTTTTGTGCATGTGTATACGCTTTCTATGTCTACCAGTTTTTAGCAGATCCGAATATAAGTCTCACCATTCCCTCTGCTATTGCTGTTAGGAACCACAATACCTTTGACCCAGGAGTCAGAGGGTTTTCATTTTTTTCACAAAAATACATAAAATCTTCAACCCTAGGTAAGCATTTGCCCAGTAACATGCAGATAAACTGAAACTCCATCCATGACAATTACAGAGTAACCCCTGATAGAATAATCTTATGCAGGATGATAAAATGCCCTAGCTGCCAATTACAAGTGCCTTTACAAAGCCGTTTCTCCTGTTTTCTCAGTAATGCTTCATTTGTCTTGCCCAAATTGGGTTTTAGAAAAGTGAAAACAAGTATAACATTTTAACACAAACATGTTTTCTTTTCTTTTTGGAATGATTGTATAGAATATAGCACATTGAACTTGAGAAAGTAGCTACAAAAGAGCAGATGCTAATGAAAAATACCACCTGGAATAATCATACTTTGGATAGTGGCTTCCATCTTTATTATATGATCACTAGACCATTTGCTGATGTGAGTTTAACATAGTATATTTAATCACACTTTTCCTCCTATATGTCTGCAGTAAACCGTCAGAATATTTTTCAGATATTAATATCCCCACAAGAAAAAACAGATCTTTGTTACTCAATGTGTGGCCTATAGACCAGCAGCATCAGCGTCAGCTGCAAGCTTGTTAGAAATGTTGCTGGCCACGGTGGCTCATGCCTATAATCCCAGCAGTTTGGGAGGCCAAAGTGGGCACATCACTTGAGGTCAGGAGCTCCAGACCAGCCTGGTCAACATGGCGAAACCCGTTCCTACTAAAAATACAAAAATTAGCCACGCATGGTGGTGCACACCTGTAATCCCAGCTAGTAGGAAGGAAGAGGCAGGAGAATCTCTTGAATCCAGGAGGCAGAGACTGCAGTGAGCTGAGATTGTGTCATTGCACTCCAGTCTGGGTTACAGAGCGAGACTCCGTTAAAAAAAATAATAATAATAAACAAACAAATAAATAAAAGAAGAAAGGAAGGAAGGGAAGGGAAGGGAGAAAAGCAGACGTGTAAAATTTCAGGCTCCACCCAGCATTTGTAATAGGATTTCACAATAATTTATGTGCTCGTTACAGTTTGGATCCCCTCTCTCAGTTTCACTATCTTTTTATCAAATGTGAATCTGGTGTTAACACACATCTCCACAGCCTGGGTGCATTTACGGTGCAGGAAGCTAGGACAGAGTGTGCAGAGGATGCCCACGGAAAACAGATGCTGCGTGCACAAGGTCAGAAATACAATTCAGCCATTGCTGACTTGTGGCTTGCTGAAATGACCAGGCTGCACAGCCTTCATTTTCAGATCAATAGTCATTTCTTAAATATATTTGGTCCTGGACTCTGATTTCTGTGCAGGGCATAACCATATTTCTCTTAAAAACTTATGATCAGTATAAAATGGCTTTTATAGTGGATTACATCAGAAGAATGGATCCGGAGTGATAACCAGGTATTCTTAGTTTGGGCAATGAGAAACTCTATGAAACACTAGCCTTATAGTAGCTCAGTTTAAAAACAAAATAGTCCTATGAATCTTTCCTTAATATTCCCTTTGGATGTTGTATTTTCAAAGAATAGTCTCAAGATCAAGAATAAATATCAAGTATAAAATAACTAGTTAGTGCTAGTGAATAGTTTTGGAAACAACAAAAGTCCTATTCAGATCTAGGCAATATTTGAGCCACATTTCTTCTGACTTGGATTAACAGTCACATCTGTAATCTGCTTTGTGGCTGCGGCACAGTCAGAATACATTCTGATGGCAGATCCCTAAGGCAATGGAAAGCAGCTTAGTGGGACACACTGAGGAGTTGGTGACAAGGAGTCCTCTCAACTCTCTGCTGACTCCAGATCAACAACTCCAGACACCGATACCACACTCAGATCTCTAAGCCTCTTCGAAAACAGAGCCTCTTAGACGATTCTTTCCTAAACCGCCAGCTTTTCACTCCTTTAATTCATCATACCCTATGATCTGTTGCTTCTCGAGGATGTAGGCATGTCTTCTGGTAAGAGCCAACAGAACAATCGCCTCCATGTTAAAGGACAATTTGAAAAGAAAACATACTTTGGAAAGCCCAAATGGTTATATATGTGCTTAAAATTCGCTTCCAACTGTTGGAGTTAAAACTTTACTAAACGATCAAAAATACAACATACTTTTATATTTTATTTCTACGGGAGAACACTTGAGAGGGAAATACACGCTGATGTATCACCTCATATAAACTTTTTCAGATACAAAAGCAACAAGTTTTTTCCTTAAATCATTAATTTTCTTTTTTCTGAAATTTACTTCTGGATAAAAATATATGATTTATATATATTATGTGTACTCAAAATATTCCAGATATAAAAAGCCTTAAAATCATACCTGTAGCTCATTCTAAAACTAAAGTTACACAATTACATTAAAAGAAAATAAATAAATAAAAATTAGAAATTGCTTTAGCTGCATATTACTGATTTTCTACTACCTCCTAGATCAACAGATTGTTTTAAATTTTAAATTTTAAAAGTAGATTTAGGGGGTACATGTGCCATTTTCTTACATGGGTACCCAAATAGTGTACATTGTACCCACTAAGGAATTTCTTATCCTTAACCATCTTCCTACCCTCGTGCTCTTCTGAGCTTCCAACATCTGTTATTTCACTCTCTTTGTTCATGTGTGCACATTCTTTATCTCCCACTCATAACTGGAAACATGCAGTATTTGACTTTCTGAGTTATTTCACTTAAGATAAAGGCCTCCAGTTCCATCCATGTTGCTGCAAAATACATGATTTCATTCTTTTCATTCTGTTTATGACTGAGTAGTATTCCAGTTGTGTGTGTGTGTGTGTGTGTGTGTGTGTATGTGTGTGATATTTTCTTTATCTAATCATCTGTTAATGGACACTTAGATTTATTCCATATTTTTGCTATTGTAAATAGCACTGCATTAAACCTACCAGTGTAGGTATCCTTTTTGATACAATAATTTACTTTCCTTTGAGCAGATATTCAGTGGTGGAATCGATGGATCCAACAGTAAATCTATAGTGCATGCTGAAGATGCATTTCGGGGATAGGTTATATCCAAAGAACTCAAATTTAAGTTCTATGAGAGATAGATATTTAGAACAAATGAGAGGAACGGTACTTGAATTATCCTAGCCTCTCCCCTTTCCACATTTTCCCCTAATATTAGAATATTTTCCTCTTCAGCTCTATGTGAACACCTGTCTTTACCACAGGGTGGTTGTGGGTGTTAAATTGTTATGTCCTAGACAAAAGACATGGTGCAATATCTGACATACCACAGGTGTTCCATAAATGGCTGTCATTGTTATTGTCTGTGGGAATGTCCTACTATTAAAGTTCTAGTAGTAATAGCAACAATTATTAACATGGAAAAGGGAGAGAAAAAGGAATCCCTGAGATAACTAGAAAAACGTTTGCTTTTAAATCTTGACATTTTCTGAAAATTTTTCTAAGCATATTTACAAGCTAAAATTCCAACACTTAAATATCTTCTTATGTGAAACAACTAATTAATCAATGAATAAATACATAATCTGCTTCTCTGTCAATCTGCTATCTTTTATGGTTATGAACTTTCTTCTAAAATAATCTGTCGTCTAAATTTAAACCTAGCCTCTTTATTATATAAGAATGCTTACAGCATTTTTTTTCAATAATTTAGTCCAATAAGTCACATAGATTAAAGGTGTCTCTACATATATAGAATTTAAACATTTACATTGCCACATAGAAAGTGGTTTTCTTTTTTCCCCCCAATGTTGATGATGATAGTTCCTGTGTGCTTGCATTTATATTAGCCAAAAGAAATGCTTACAGGATTGAGGAAAGTTGCTGAGTAGAGTTGCTGTTTAAAGATTTATAGATGTGTGAGAAGTATTGCTATAAATTAGCATCCCCAGATTGGTCTAATTATGTCTGTATCCCACATGCCTTTCAAATATCTAGCATTCTTTGCTATCTCTGCTTACACTTAAATAAGTTCTCTCTATGATGGAATGATGGATGGGGGCTTATTTTGACAATAAGACACTATCAAATGGATGAAATATTGGAATAAAATAACTATCTGAAAGTAAGAATGTACTATTTCCACTCTGTTAAACTCACAAAAATGGTAACAAAACATGGCAAACTGTGGTGGATTTGAAAAAGCTTCGTGGCAAATGCCAGTACCTATCTCCAGCATGGTACAAAAATGTTAAAGTATGACATTTACAGTGAGTATAGCTTAGGAGGATGAGAGATTTTGGAAGTATTGTATATTTTCTACTACGGTTGCATGTTAGGTTAACCAGGAAGCATTTCGCTTAGAGGTACTTGTAATCACATCCTTACACCCATACTAAATATTTTGTCTCACCTAGCAGTGTGCAGTGACTTTCTGCACATCCATTCCAGTTGAACTGATCCGACGTGAATTTCATCTCCAGCGCTTAGAGATGATACCTTGGCAGTTCTGTTCTAAATGGGGAGAATGGCAGTGAGAGGGCCTATGGGAAAATAAGGCCTTCAAAACCCCCTACCTGAAAAGACCTCCGTTTGTTAAGGTGGAATCAGACACTGCTGAAATCTTCAAAGGGACGAGGGTTAGGTGTGAAGTCTGGAGGAATAAGAAATACAGGTGCTCTAATGAACAGCACTGGCTAACTTTGTATTATTATTATTATTATTATTAGCCTATCAGAAAAGACATATCATTCATGTCAAAAGACAAAGTATTTTTTAACCATGTTTTAAAAATATCAGGCTACAGAGTGTAGATTTAAATATTGATCGTTTTTTAGACCGGCATGAACTATACGGCCCAGCTGTCTGTGCAAACGCTGTGGCGACGATAATAACCGACGATAACCTCACCGCAGCATCTATCATCTTGGCAGAGTTGTTTGTTAAGATCAGTGAAGATCCAGAAAAATCAGGCGGCGTGCTGCTTGGTTTTGCCAGGAGTAAACGTACTGAAGGATACCGGGAAGACTGGTCATTATTGTTCTTCTTGTGGTTGCTAGTATTATTATTATTATTATTATTATTATTATTATTATTATTATTATTATTACAGAGGCCAGTGCTGCTTTTGGGGTGAAAGAAGACCATCAGCAAACCTCAGCCTTGCCGCCAGGACTCCACCGTCTTCTGTCCGAGTCTGCGGGTCCGCAGATTGCGGCAGGGAGGCCCGGGCACCCGCAGGTGGCGCCCCACGTCCGTGTTTGCGCCCTCGCCCGCGCTCCAGGCGCAGCTAGGAAACCCAGCGCGTCTCCCCGGGTCTTTGGAGCCAGCGCGGAGACCGCAATTTAATAAATAAGCGCGAGTGCCAGCCGCTCCACCAGCCCGAGGTCCAGAGGAGCAGACACATAGACCCGGGCCGGAGGCCCCTCTTGTAGCCCTGCGGGAACCGGACAGTTCCCCAACTGGGGACTCTGGAACCACAGCTCCTAAATCATCAAATTCTCAAGCTTTTTTTCCTCTCTTCGTCCCAGCCATCCCAGTCATCGTCGTCGTCTTTTTTTTTTTTTTAAACTTATTGTTTTTTTCGCCCCTTTCATTATGAAAGTGGTCACGCCATTCAAGATTAAGACTTGGAGGGAATTGGGGAAAGAAAAGAAAGAATCTAGAAGAAGAGAAGCGACCGGTGCTTTTAAGGGTGCCTAATTTTCAAACGAGACGTCTGGGAGGATTTTGCTCTGGGCGTTTGGGTGAGCTGGACGGGGGCATTGGAGGGTGCGGCGGGCTTGGGAGCAGGGAAGGTTCGGAGTCCTAGGGCGGCGGCGGCGCTCGGCTATGCCCTCTGGAGACTGGCGGGGCTGCGGGGCCGAGGGGATCCGCGATGGAGCCGCGCTGCGGGCGCGCTGGGCGCCGGAGTGCGAGGGGCCCCAGGCAGCGGTGCGGGCGCGAAGCCCAGGGACTGGAGGCGCCCGGGCGCACAGCGCGGGGCGCTGAGCAGGGCGAGACGCGGGGTTCGCGGTCCCGGGCGCGGCGCCTAAGCGGGCGCGCGGGGCGCGGGGCGCGGGGCGTGGTGCACCCCTGAAGCGGCGCAGGCTGGAGCGGGAAAGCGGCAGGGCGGGGCGGCGCGGTTATTGGCCACGCGCTGGGAGCAGGGTCGCGCTCCCTGTCCTCCTCCCGACAGCTCCCACTCGCCTCATTTTCTCTAAGCAGAGCAACTTCGCTGACAGCGGAGCTCACCCAGCATGGATGTTCCAGGTAACCACCCCCGACCTGCCCTCCCCTCCGCGTGCAAGCGCCTTCTGCGTGGATTTTAACCAGGACTCTCGCTGGTCCAGATCGAGGGGTGGGGGAGGTGGAGAGAGAGAGAGAAGGGAAATAATGTAGGATCGGGGCTGCGGACAGCGATATTTATCAAGAGCCAACTTCTCCGTTCTTAGAAAGAATATTGGAAGAGTTAATGGGAGGCTGTGGGCGGCGAGGGGGCGGTTTCTCTGCGTGTCTCTGGGCTGGTATTGAAATGGCCGGTCTGCTTTCCTGGGAGGAGCGGGGACGGGGCAAAAGTGCAGATGGGCGCGTAAGTTCGCAGAAACCTGCAGGGGCTGCTGCCCAGCCAGAAAGAGAGAATCCCCTGGGTCTGGAAACAAGAGCTGGAGAATAAGCCAAGCCTGAGATTCCGTCGTTGGAATCGGTCCTTCCGCGGAGAGAGGAATCCCAGGGGTTTCACCAAGGGGGCTCGCTAGTGGCTGCAGGGACCTTGGAAGTGAGTGTTTGGTTTTACTGCCTCTGTGTGTGTGTGTGTGTGTGTGTGTGTGTGTGTGGTGTCATTTTTCCCCTGTTAATCTTATTCGCCCTAAGGAGATTCCTGGGTTTTGTTCTTCGCGTGGAAAATAGATAAAACCTGTACCAAAGGGACTTAAATGGACTTTAAAAACATCTCGAGGATTGAAAAATAGAGGATAGCAGGGAAACAAGGGAAAGGAAAAGGGTTCCTTGGTGCTGCTCCAAGGAAATGCCTTGAGATGAAGGCGAGAAGGCAAGCATTCGTAGGTTTTTCTTTGCCTACGTCTTAGTCCCCTCCGCGCTGGTAAATGGGCGGGGTGGCGGTGACGCCTTCTGAGGGTCTCGGGGCCCCTCTTAGCGACGAGGACCTGCACAAGCGCGGCCCCCTCCCTCGTCGCAGGCCCGCGCGCCGCTCGGGAGCCTTCAGGGATGCGCTGCCCGCTGCGCCCGGGCGTTTCTCCGGACCTGTTGTGCCAGATCGGAAAGCGGGTTGGCTGTGCGCGGGACCAAGGGGGTGGCCTTCGGGGACAGCCCCCGAGCTGCAGGCATCTGCTCCCAGTCCCCCTTCTTCCCGGTGGCTCCACCTCCCGGTGTAAGGCTTTGGGTTCTGTGCCCTGACAGGTCCACGGGCGCCTTTCTTCTGAGAACGACCCTGGCCTTGACCGTCAGAGCGGGGGACAAAGGCCCGCGGAGGCTGCTGCGGGCCCCGCGCGTTCCTGCGCGCCCTTCCGCGCCGCTCGCGCCCCCGCCGGCCTCCGCCCCCGCGCGCCGCCTCCCACCAGCCCCGATGCAGGCGCCCGGCCAGGGGCCCCTCGGGCTGCGGCTGACGATGCCCTGGCGCCGGGGGGCGCTGCGCGAGCCGGGCGGCTGCGGATCCTGCCTGGGGGTGGCGCTGGCCCTGCTGCTGCTGCTGCTGCCCGCCTGCTGCCCCGTGCGGGCGCAGAACGACACGGAGCCCATCGTGCTGGAGGGCAAGTGCTTGGTGGTGTGCGACTCCAGCCCGTCGGCGGACGGCGCCGTCACCTCCTCCCTGGGCATCTCCGTGCGCTCCGGCAGCGCCAAGGTGGCCTTCTCCGCCACGCGGAGCACCAACCACGAGCCGTCCGAGATGAGCAACCGCACCATGACCATCTATTTCGACCAGGTCAGCCGCCAGCCTGCCCACCCCGCCCCCAGCCCGGGGAGAGGGGCGGGGATCTGCGCGCGCGGGCTGGGGTTCAGGCTTCTTGGACATGGAGTTCCCAGGCTCTGTCCTCCCCCTCTGCCCTGCTACTCTCTTTCCTCCCGTTTTATAGAACGCACTCCTACTCTTTCCCTTTTCCACATTGTGGCTTTTTAAAAACTTTTAAATGATCAGCCAACTTGGCACTTGGATGACTGAGAGTCCCTTAAGGCTGTCTAAGCTTTCTAAGAGTTCCGTAAACCTAAAGATTTGAAATGTATTTCCCAAAAGGAAGCATTGCACGTTTTACTTTTCACGGCGGTGTGGTTGATGGTCTTCAGTCACCCAGGTGCCCACCTGAAGGATTGAGTGCATTTAAATCTCTCCACTCTCAGAAAAGGACTCTTTCCAAGTCTCTGCCAGCATTTGGAAAATACAGCCTATTGCTTATTTTGAGGAATGGATTGGGGGAGGGATGTTTATCTTAAAAAAAAAAAAAGAAAGAAAAAAACGTGAGGACAAGCAGGGATGGTTATATAAATACTAAACAAAATATTGTGATTATATAAGTAAAATATATAGTAAATAAAATATATACCATAAGCAAATGCAATATATACAAATCTTTTAGAAGAGCAGTGACTTACATCACCTTAAGCCACTTAACTTATGCCATTTGGTTCAATGCAGAGGTCTCAGAGATATGATCAGGCCTTTCCAAACCCTTCTCTGGATTATTGGTGTCCAGGGTTAAAGGCTGTAACCTTCTTTTTGGGTCCCGCTCGCCTGGTTTCTGTTGTTTTTCAGAAAAAAAATTAAAAGCATTATAGAGATTTCCAAGCTTTAGCTAATTAGCTAATTGCCCAATCATTTTACCAAAGTGTTTCCCACAGAATGGAACGCCTAGCAGCCCCTGACAACCTACCAGGGCTTACTGTACGTGTTTAACTGACTTTCCTTTGGTCTGTTAGGCAACTCTTAAACTTAATAACCATAAACCTACAGACACACACTCTTGACTCTAAGCCAGGGTATTTATTTCTTAATCATTGTTAAGCTTCAAGTATTTGAGGTTTTTTTTTGGGGGGGGGCGGGCGGAGGCATGTGTCTCTTTAATTCATTTTTTTTTTTTTTACAAAATGTAAAATTATTTATTTTGATTATGTCCAAATGAGACAACAATGGAATAGGCATTTGGGAATTAATACTCTATTAGTACGGTTTCCTTTATATGCTGTTATTGTTATATTATTATTATTCACTTACAATGTCTTGCAAAGTTTTCATAGCATTTTTATATCCCTCTTTGCATTTGTGTATCAAGAAAGCTCTGTGATGTAGGGCAGGATAAGTAGTAGCAGGATTCTAATTTTATACATGAGCAAACTATGGCAGGGTGCGTTCAATGTTTCTCTGGCTCCCCAGTTAATGAGGAGCTGAGGTCTGCTTTTCTGGGTCTGGTTGGGTGTTCTTGCATCTACAGCAGGGATAAATTCTACCTGAATTTATCAGCTTCCAGAATGTAAAATTGAGGTGAAGGAGTTGAGGTGAAAGAAAGAAGCAGCTCCGGAGGCTTAAATGGAGACTGCTTTATCCTTTTCTAAAGCTTTGTAAGGAAGACAGCGAGCATAGCCTTATGAGACTGAGAATAGGCATCCCGAGGTGCTTGTCTTAACAATGGAGCCCAGAGTGTCTGTCTCAGTCCTGCCCTTGAGTGGAGCTGAAGTGGTGCTCCCAGCTGGGTTGAAGAAGCTGAAACAGGCATATTTCACAAGTCATTTCGGCGATCGTCATTGGCAGCATTTCACATTGCGTTGGGAATTGCATGTTATTTATCTATAATGAGCGTGTAAGAAATAACAGCAAAGGTATTGCGGTTGAAGTTTATATTCTCATTAGATCACAAGATCTTAAACCCAGGATTTTGATGTTGTTGCTGGCTGTTTATTTTAAAAGGCAGGCCATCTTATTATTATAAAGGAGTTGTGCATTTATGGATGAGGAGGATGGAGATGGCATCCAAAGTGGCCAGAGTCTGTGTTGAACATCTGAAAGAAATTGGGTCATCATGGGGGTCCCGCCACTCTTGCAATTCTGCTTATGAAACACTCACCCCTGCCCTTTTATCTGAGAAAAGCCATCTGCAGGGTCATGAGCTCATTCCAGGTGGCTAATTTTGTCATTGTTTTGCATGTTGTAGAGTTTGCATTAGCTTAAGCTAAGGATGTCCAAGCTGCCGATTCTCCATTTATTCAAGCTCATTTACAGGGGCACCATAGCTCAGGCAAGGGAGCAGCACATTGCTCAGGGAAAAGTACGGAAAAGCAGGAGTAGCAAATGTTTTTCTGCAAAGGTCTTTCATTCAACACCCATCATCGACTACCTACTGTGTGCGTCCAGAGTGTGCCAGGCACTGGGAACCACTGGAGATCCACACCTCATACAGCCCATTGTCTCTGGGAACACATGAAGTTAGGTCCCAAGCTTGAACTTGCAGAAGTGATCTTTAATTGGCCTCTTGCTCCATAACCCTTTCTCTACCCACTCAGAATCGAACTTTTTTTTTTTTTTTCCAGACAAGGTATCAAGTTGATGTACCCATAATCCCGCGGACCTCCCTGGACTCAATTTAGGATTTAACAAGCTTACAAGCTTCGATTCCTTTCTCTCTGCCCTGCCCCTTTAACTCACAAAATTCACAGCCAGTTTTTGAATGCATAAATAAAATATGCTTTAAAAATGTTGATTAGTTACAATGTATTAAAATACCTTTGAGATTACTTCCTACTGTAGGATCTTTTAACTTCAGCACTGCTTCCTTTCTGGGAAGCCAGAACGCTGAGGATGCTGAATTTGTGTTCCCAGCCGCTGATGAAGGAGGCAGTGTTGCTGGTTATCCAAGGATGATGAAAACATACACTGAGGAGGGGCTTGCTATTGTGTGCTGTGTTCCCTCTTCTTTTTCAGGTATTAGTAAATATTGGCAACCACTTTGATCTTGCCTCCAGTATATTTGTAGCACCGAGAAAAGGGATTTATAGCTTCAGCTTCCACGTGGTCAAAGTGTACAACAGACAAACCATCCAGGTGGGTAGACTTGAAACTGGATCCTTTCAGGTTTGGGTTAATAGTTCCCCATCGTTAAAGACCCCTGCACCTGGTCTCTGAGGTTGAGGGAAACAGGGTATTGGGCTATTTAGGGGTGATGCGGCTCTGAACTAGCTGGGAGTGCTCACTGTCAGGCCCCCTGATGTGTACTGGAAGGGTAGGACGGGGGTGGGAGTGGGGATATTGGCAGAGGAGAGAACAGTGTGTAGAAGTTGGGTCCTTTATGGTCTGCTGAGCTCTACTCTCTGCATTTTAGGTCAGTTTAATGCAGAATGGCTACCCAGTGATCTCGGCCTTTGCAGGAGACCAGGATGTCACCAGAGAAGCTGCTAGCAATGGCGTGCTGCTGCTCATGGAAAGGGAAGACAAAGTGCATCTCAAACTTGAGAGAGGCAACCTCATGGGGGGTTGGAAATACTCCACATTCTCGGGCTTCTTGGTGTTTCCTCTATAAACACAGAGCACCCTAGATGGTGGGGGAATGGCAATCTGGACCCAGGAATCCGCCCTTTAAAACACCCTGAACTTGCTGGAATTGGGACACCTTGTTTCCAACCTCCATCAGCCTGTTGCTGTAGAAGAATGATTTCCTCTGAAACCTCCAGTACTTTTGTTTTTGTTTTTTGGAATATTGACAATTCCTCGGGAACCTGGCCTCTATTTAGTTTTAGATGACAAGGTCTTAAGGAGAAATGAAATTATCGATTTGAGCAATTTGTACCTGTGATTGTAAAGTCAATATCGGATTTTATTGTTGGGACCATGGACCTCTTTTGTTTGTATGTTATATTGTTGTCCCAATGGAAGGAGAGCTCCTGATTCCAGGATGGACTGCAGGTTGCAGTCAGGGCTTGAAGCAGGAGCCCAACAAAGAACCACCTGATGGACAGTCCTTGACATGTGTTCTGTGTGCGTCTGTATAGCCTTAAGAAAAAGAATGGCTTCACTTTCATTCTGTATTCTTCCCCCCACCGTGTGGATGGGAGGACTTGGGAGGGGGATGGGGACATTGTGAACCTGTCAAGAAGTGCTTTATCCAGAGAAGCAAGTTTTGCACGATTGGACTGCAGCTTTTGTTTTGTATTGTTTGTGTTTTTTCTTGAATAGCTTTACTTTTCTTTCCACACTCAGCTCTCCCTCCTCAACCCCACTTTTATTTTTCTTGCTGGGATTGGGGAGAGAAAATATATGTTGAATTCCTGGATAAGACCAAACAAAACAAAACATTAAAATACCTGTATGTTTTGTTTTAGACGAGACCAAACCAAACAAAAAGAATCTGTTTATCGAAGTAAAAATAACACAATGTACAATTCGGCTTATTCTCTCAAAGAGATTCTAAGATGCACCTTTAGAACTATTAATAGCAACCTGGATTTTTTTAAAATTTATACTTCAGAATGCTTTAAGAACCTGGTGTTCCTGGGTGGTCCTGAATCGTATAAGTTGGGAATGGAAGCTGTAATGACCAAGTCCCCTAAACATACTGCTTCTTTGCCACGTGTGCTGTGACTTCTCAGCGGGTGTTTTAATTTATTTGGATCCACCTCTGAGTGAGCGCACAGTGATCAGGTGCTTCGAAGCCAACAGACCAGCTCCTCTTCCTCCAGATCCTCTTTTGATCTGCCCAGGAAAGGGATGCATTGCCACTCTCCTGCATGCACCTGGCGAGAAGCCACCTGGAAGTCACTGTGGTTAAAGATATTGGTGGAGGTACCCCAGGAGCACTGTTACAAATCCTTCTTGTTTTGACACCTCTTACAACAACATTATTAAGACACAGCTGAGAGTTGATGGGTGTGTAATTCATATGCCAAGGAAATGTCACTGATCCCAAAGCAATCAAAGAGGAGACCTCAAACCAGATGTTAATTTGTTCTTTGTGTAACAATGTAACCAAAATATTGATGATGAAAGTCATAATTTAAGATTCAGAATAAATGGGTTTGATGTCTGGCTTGCTCTTATCCTCCACTTCGTCTCCCAACTCGTAAAATGTGTGGAAGTAAAGGCCGACTGTCAAGGACCTGGGGAAGATAAATCTATACAGTGCCTCTGTAAAAAAATGTACTCTCAAACACACACACACCGGTATGTGCAGACCTGGCTGTGGGTCTGGATGGATATTGTACACTTAGATATATTTCAGTTTATACATATGTATTCTTTAAAAGGAAGATCTTGGGGGAGATATGTGAAAAAGACAGCTTAAGAAGGTTTTAGGGATAGGCAGTCTGCTTTTATCACATGTCATCTTTGATGTGGTGCAAGTTCCAATCCAGTATTTTCATCAGTGAACACTGATATAAAAGAAACTAACATTTTAAGAGCATAAGTTGTTTCCAAAAATGTGTATGTGAGGATGGAGAGGAATTAGATTCCATTTTTGAAAAAGAAATTCAGTGGTGATTATATAAATGAGAAAATGTATAGTTTGACTAAGGGTCTAAGTTTTACTTTCCTTGGATGAAGAGCATAATGGGATGCAGAATTTTATTTGAATTGAAATGCTGTTGCATTTTGTGAGGGGAAAAAATCAATAAAAGAGCATTGGGGTACCTTGGCTTTGTGATTAGGAGACATACTTCTAAATAAGAACATTATTTGTGAAGGCTGATAACATAACGAGAAGGATGCTGGAATATGGTTTATTACTCTTGGTTATTTTAGTCCTCTTTCCCCCATTTCCTTAAACTTACGTTCAATTTCAAACAGGAAACCTCATTAGAGGACAGTATAATATTCCACAGATTGAAGCGTATACAAGTACTTGTTACTTTTGTCACTTAATCATATATAACACATGTATGTTTGTATTTACACCTGTATTACATACAGGTTGTTATTGGGCTATCCTGGCTAATAAGCAACCTATTAATTAGACAGTTTAAACAAGAGTATATTTCAGGCCGGGCGCGGTGGCTCAAGCCTGTAATCCCAGCACTTTGGGAGGCCAAGACGGGCGGATCACGAGGTCAGGAGATCGAGACCATCCTGGCTAACACGGTGAAACCCCGTCTCTATTAAGAAATACAAAAAACTAGCCGGGCGAGGTGGCGGCGCCTGTAGTCCCAGCTACTCGGGAGGCTGAGGCCGGAGAATGGCGTGAACCTGGGAGGCGGAGCTTGCAGTGAGCTGAGATCCAGCCACTGCACTCCAGCCTGGGCGACAGAGCGAGACTCCGTCTCAAAAAAAAAAAAAAAAAAAAAAAAAAAAGAGTATATTTCAGGCGTTTATTTTGTATTAGAAAAAACATGATATCCTGATTATTCTACTTTAGTTCATCATCATCTTCTTCTTTGCTTTCTTTTTCTTGAGATGGATTCCAAAACCTGCCTTAGGAAGGAGCCATGCTGCCAGTGTCCCTAAAGTGGTTTCTTATCCCCTGCAGCATCTGCCAAGGTTCTGTTTGGCTGAGGATCTATGAGGCATCTGAAGCTCCTGTGTTTTGTCTACAAAAATATATAGGTCAGATCAAAATGTAAAATATGTATTTTTTTAATTGGAAAAAAAAGAGAGAGGTCTCTGTAACATCCGAAGGGCCATCTGAGCCCTGTCTCTGAGTTTCAGTTTCCTCATCTGGGTGAGGGCAGTAGCCCTGCCAGGTCCCCCACCTCACAGGACAGCTGTGAGGACCGCACAGAAGTGCTTTGAAAGCTGGAAGGCACCAGGATAACATGGGGGGTGTTCTTGGCAGGGAAGGTGTTTCTGCAAAAGCATGTTTTTAACATGCAATTTATGAAAAAGATTAATATGACTGACGGACAATTTTATGAAAGTAAATATCCATATTTCTGAATAGACAAAACTGTAGTACTGGGTTAGAATTTTGTCTCATTTGATTGTAGGGATGATGATAATATCAAAATCTATATGTTGTAATATTAACTCAATTCTCAATTACGTTCTTTGGCTGTCCTGTGTGGTTCAAGTTCAGCTCTCTGCTTCCGTGTGGAATGCCAACATTTTATAAAAATATACAGCTGTAATATTTTTAACACAAATAAAAAAATGAGGTAGTAATGTTATGGCATTATAACAGTAAATTGCCTTGGCTGATAAATATTAGCCCTACTAAATTGTAAATGCTTATAAAACAACACAATTTTTTAAGTTAAAATATATTCTAATTTAAATCGCAAACTTGATGAGTCAGCTCCAGGTCCTGAGAAACTATGTTTACTATCTGTAATTTCTGAGCCTTCATTGCATCCTAATAATTTTGATTTATGTGTTCATGTATATATGAAATTATCTACAGTTTTAAAGTGTGTGCTTATAATAGCGGCTCAGAGTAAAGGTGATTAAAAACTTATTGAATATTAGCATAAAAACTCACAGAATCCTGTGAGATTCATAGATTTACATAATCCTGTGAGATACATAGATTCATAGATTTACCTGTTTGAAAATATTTTAAAGCTAAATCTAATTATATTAAGCATCAGAAGAATTAGAAAATATATATATAAAGCCAAAAACATTTGTTGAATCTTTAACTTTGTTTGTAGTATTTTCTTACCATCAAGAAATTACAGTGGTCACATATTAGTAACTATCACATAAATACTGTTTGCTTATGAATACATGAACATCCCCCTCTGAATTTTTAGCGTAGAAATACAAAATAAACTGCAGGGTTTGGCCACATACTCCTGGAATCGAGAAATATGTGAGAGGAAAATTTGATAAATTATTTTATGCAAGCAAAATAAAAGCGCTGGTTGTTCCAGAATACATTAGATGTCGCAAAAGGAACAAAGAATGTTCTGTCAATTTGTAGGACCATAATTTTGCAATCTTTTATAAGGAAAAATGTTGCAATGAGATATAATGTTTGTGTGAATAAAGTAGTGAATGTGTGTTTATGTTTTCACAGCGTAAGAAGTATATAATAACCTAATACACAGATACACATGAATGAAAGGTTCTTTTACATTATGTTTAAGATGGGGAACTCATAGAAGGAGCTTACAGTGAATCCTTCTAAAGATTTATTGAGTACTCTGTGAAAACACTTGTAAAAATGTGGAATGATTAACTGTAGAACTACAATGAGTTTTGCCCTTTTGCCTTGCTTATATGGAGATCTATTTGTCATTGGGATTCTATTTCTAAAGCTGGCACTTTGCTACTAAAATGGGATATTACAAACATATTTTTAAATTTAATATCAAAGCCTGTTAATTCTCATGAGACTCTTAAAATTATTTTCTCTTGACATTTAAAGAGCAAGCACACCAAATATACTGAAGTATGTTAAAATACAAATTTTGCTTTGGTTTTATCATTTGATGCTTTTTGTGCTCTGTATCTTTTTTCCTATGATACACTATGAAGAAATTAGCTGATGATGACCACAATTATTAGTCAAATGTGTTCGCGTATTTGCCCTGCATTTTAAAACTTATTTTTGCAGAGAGAACTCACCAAAAGGCATATTTACTGCCTTTGCAGATGGATGGCTACAGTTTTTAAAGATATTTTAAACGTCTGCTTTGTTACATAGCTATCCATGATGCAATTGGACAAATCCAGTCCTCAAATCCCCAGTCCCCAAAAGAAGACATCACATTAAAAATCCTTCATAAGATCCAATGGATGTAAAGTTTAAAAAATGGGCATGTATGCAAGTATGTATAATAGCATTATGCTTAAACATGAATCTTAAGTAAATGAGCTTTCCTTGCATTCCCAGACCCAGTGGGGTAACTTGAAATTTGTAAGGGCAAAAGCCACGTGATTGTGCCTCCTACAGATAATAGGAGTTCTGTTTTATCATCCTAAGTGGGTTTTGCTGTGGATTTCCATCACCAGAATTACTCAAGTGTCTATAGCATCATAAATCATCATCTTCATCAGCTCACCCACATACACTCACTCTGTAGTGTAAATGAGCTCCTTGACAACTTAATTTGGAAAAGAAATCTTCATTCCCTCTTCTTAATGCCTACGGCAGGACTCCCCACGGTTAGAATGCTGCTTTGCACTGAGGCTATTGTAACAAAATGGAAGCTACTAATTAATGAGCCACTACCACTCTTGCAACCTGACTAGTAATGAATGTAACGTTTATTATTGTTCCCCTGCTTTCTTCAGGAATGCTGACTTCTTTTGAATTTGTATCAGGTTGCAATAAACACTGAGTTGGAGAAGAATGTTGGCAATAATCTGGAATGTGAAACTCCTGAATATTTTGCTGAAGTCTGTTTGATCTAACTTTATTCATGTAAAAATACTTATATTAATCTCTTATGTCTTCAAAGTCCTCTAGGATATAGGGGCATTTTCTTCACTTTATACCAAAAAGAAACATTTCCTGTAATTCTGGGTGCAGCATTATTGTGGAACTGACACAATGAAAATATTATAGGAAAAAGAATATCTAAAAATAACCAAATTAATTGAGAAAAAATTGGCAAATTTTTCTTACTACTAAAATCCCTCATTTGCAGTGTTTTTACGTGGATCTTAAAGATTCCCTCCAGTCTTAAAAGTATATTATTCTATGTAACATTTATCTTCGAATTGCTAATTTTCTTTTATAATTCTTTCAGAGAGGAGATTATCACTGAAACAAACGTAGGACATGAGAATGTGATACTATCTTCTTTTCTAATTCCCAAGCACCATGTCAGGATGTCATAGCACAGTTTTTGTTCTGAAATTGTAAACTCTTAAGTGGAAGAAGCAATTATAGGATTTATAAAAAATGATCTATTCTTTTGGGAACAGAGTATAGATATTTTCTTTTCATTTCACAACATTTATGTATAGCAGCCCAGGGGCCAGAGAATGTGCTTAAGGATGGTGATAGAAAATTGAAGATACCCTCGGTGTGCAAAAAGAGCTTGTAGTCCTTAGAAAATAGCATTCAGAATCATCTGGGAGGATACTCAGCTAAACTGATGGTGAGGGGGTGGGCTGGGGTGGGTGAGGTGGAAATGTAAATGCATA